CCCCGCACTGCCCCCACCTTTGCACAACTGGGAAATAAATAATTCGTTTCATTAATTAAGCACCCAGCCTCCGGTGTCTCCTCCGGTGTCTCCATCCCCCCACTCGGGATGTCGTTCTGCTGCTTTTTAATGGCAAAAAGGCCCTTTTTGGGGGTGGAAAAGACCAGCGCTCTGCTGCAGTGCTCATGAATATTCAGAGAATTATAAAATATGCAAATTTCTGGCTAATGAGATGCTGGGGGCTCGGAGCCAGCAGCAACTGCGATCTGAGGGGCAAAATTCTGCTCAAAGTTCCATTTTGAGGGGATTCTTTTTACCCATTTTTAACTTTTCCGCAGCCCTAAATTGTACCAAAATTGCCTTCTTTTCCCCCAGAAAATCAACCAGTTAATTAGCAGTGGCTCCTTAAGGAATGAAGGCACTTCCATGGGGGGGATAATTGCTCAGTTTGGGGGTTTGTCACTCATTTGGGGGGGGACAGTTCCTAATTTGGGGGGTTTTGCTCATTTTTGGAGAGTGTAATCCATTTTGGGGACAAATTCAGGCATTTTTGGGGAAATCACTTACTTGGGGGAACTATTGCTCATCTGGGGAGAGAATTGCTCATTTGGGGGAAACATTTTGGGGAGCATGGTGGCTTTGTGAAGATCAATCATTTTGGGAGCAGTGCTCGAAAAAAATGACTTAGTTTTGGAGAAATATAACTCATTTGGGGAAAATACTACTTTTTTCTGGGGGAAACACTTAATTTTGGGGACCACCCCTCATTCTTAGGGACAATAACAGGTTTTGGGGCAGCAACACCTGTTTTGGGGTGGGTCAGTCCTTTTGGGGGAACATCACTCATTTTGGGGGAGAATCCCTCCTTTTTGGAAAAGGTAAGTGTGAACATCACTCATTTTGGGGGAGAATCACTCATTTTGGGTATGGATTGCCCTCTTTGGGTACTATCATTTCTTTCTTGGGATCATCACTCATTTTTGGAGAATTACTCCATGCCATTTTGAAATAAGCATCACTCATCTGGGGGGAGAATGCCTCATTTTTGGACAATAAAATTCATTTTGGGGTGAGCATCACCCATTTTAGGGTCAGAATCACTCATTTTGAGACAAGCATCATTCATTTTGGGGGAGAAACCCTCCTTTTTGAACAATAACACTCATTTCAGGATGAGCATCACTCATTTTGGGGCTGTTTCACTTATTTGAGGGGACTTTTGGGGCTTCTCTGGTCACAGGAAGAAGCTGCCAATAAAATACAGCTGCAAAACCTCATCTCGTAGCACTTTATAATAAATGGCCATGAATTAATACTAAATTACAATGAATCCTTTATGAAATTACAGAAACCCAAAATACATTGGTTTGGTTTTTTTTTTGCCAAGCCACCCTCACCTGTGGCTTGTTTGGGCTAAAACTCCACCATTTTCCCACATGGGTGAACAATGTCAGGGAGAAACGATCTTTCCAGCAACATGATTGAGTTTCCTTCCATCTGGGTGACTCTCGGGGGTCACCATTCAATTTTGGGTGCAAATCTGTGTGTTTTAAACCCATTTCTTCCTGCCTCGGTGCCAGTGGGAAAGTCTCATTCCCGGCAGCCTTTGCCCCAACTCTGCATCCAGTCTCAGCCCTTCAGGATGAGAATGGGGTGGTTCTTCTCCAGATTCAATGGGGTTTTTAGCACATAAATAAAAGGATTTGGGGGAATATCCTCCCTTTTCCAGAAAGTTGTGTCCAGAGTCACCAAACGGCCACAGCACTGGGGATAAAACAGGGAGATTTGGGCAATCTGGTGGGTCAAGGGCACCAAAACCCTCCTCAGATCCAACCTGAGGCAGAACTTGCACTCGCTGTTTTTTTCTCCTCGTGTGCTGATACTTACACTTGTGAATCCTCTTTTTTGGGGGCAAAAAAAGCATCAGTCCTGTGGTTGTTTATTGGGATTTGGGGGTTTTTTGCACCAAGGAATCCAAGTGGTGGACGCAGTGGCCCACGGTGAAAGCCCGCTGTCGCCCAACAGCATTGGAGCATCGTGTGGGGAAAACAGCATCCCCTAAAAATGCTTTTTCTTACCAAAAATGAAGGGGAGAAGGGAAAAATAAGAAAAAAGCCTGAAAAAGAAAAATAAATCCGGCCACAATATGTGCCTTGTAAACATGTGTCCTTCACATCCACACGCTGACGTGCTGGTCCCTGTGCTCCTATGGGCAGCCAGGGCAGCCACCAGTGCCTCCAATTTGCTTTTTTCTCACCAATTTTGTTTTTGTTCTTGCCAGGGGTTGTTTTTTTGGCATTTCTGGGGGAATTTTGTTTCTGGTGCTGTCAATGATTTGGGGATGGTGCAGGAGGAGCTATTCCAAGGAGTCACTGTGGTCCAAGCCGAGGTCAGCGCCAGGTGCCGTCGGGAGGCCACCAGGCTCTTCTTCCAGCTCTTCCTCTTCTTCCTCCTCCTCCTCCATCTCGTCCTCATCCTCCTCGTCCTCCTCTTCTTCCTCAGTGCCATCAAGGGAGTCGTCATGGGCTGCCAGCATGGCCTGCTGCATGGCCATGGTGGCTGTCGCTGATGAGAGGGGTTGAAGGTTGTCCATGCTGAGTGAGCCTGAAATCAATAAATACATAGAAATAAGGACTTCCCAAGTAATATAAAATGACAACAAAGTGCATAAACCAAGAACAAGCCAAGTTGAAAGCTGTATCTAGACGCAGCGCCCTGTAGGGTGTCCCACATGCCCCGGTCACTGCCCAAGGTCCAACAATTAATGTCTTTAATGTATCTTCATTCAATAATGAGAAACAATCAATTTTGGGCAAGTAGATGCCCAAATTGGTTGGGCAGATCTTCGTCTTCTCTCAATTTCCACCATCCCTTCTCTTCATCTTCTCTGTTCTCATTTTGTCTGGTCCATACTCCTCTCTTTATCCTCTCTTCATCTTCTCTACTCCACCATCTGTTCTCTGTTTATCTTTTCTCCTCCTTTCTTGTCTCATCTGTCTTCTTATCTCCATCTTCTCTACTCTTAATTTTCATCATCTCTTCTCTGCTCACCTTCCTTTCGTCTTCTTCTTTCCTATCATCTTGTCCCATCTTCTCATCGCCACCTTTTAATCTTTTTTTCCATTTTGTCTCCTCTCCTCTCCCCATCTTTCCCTTTACCTTCTCCCCTCAGGAGATATCCCAAGTGATGCCCCACAGTGGCTGATCACTGAGGAGCGTTCGTATGCTGAGGAGATAGCAGTGCCCCATTTCTAGTGCCCTCGTGACAGGCAACCGGAAGGACCTTCTTGCCTGCACCACTTCTTCAACATGTTTTTCCCCACAGGGGATAAAAATGGCTCTAGAAATCCTTAATTCCAAATTAAGGCCATAATTTAATGCATGGCCACCCCATCCAGGAAGGGCAGAGGCCATCAGGGCTTGTCCTTACCGTCAGGATTTGTCCCCGAATTGCCACTCTGCTGCTGCAGGACCCCAGCAGCGATGGAGTTGGGCCAGAACCGCTGGGTGGGCCGATGCTGAGATTTGATTTTCTTGGCTTTGGGGGCAGGGTCTGGGTTGCTGGCATCAAGCATTGGCTGCAGGATGCGCCGCCGGGCATTGATGAACCTTTCCAGGGAAAAGAGAGACCGTTGGAGTAATGTTACAGCAATTCTGAGTTAGAACAACACACTTTATAACAATTCAATGAATCACAATATAAAACCAAAAAGCTGAGGTTTTAGCCTATTTTATTTGTTTGTAGTATGTTTTATGGTGAGAGTGGTAGACACTGGCGCAGGGTGCCCAGAGAAGCTGTGGCTGCCCCATCCCTGGCAGTGTTCAAGGCCAGGCTGGACACAGGGGCTTGGTGCAACCTGCTCTAGTGGAAGGTGTCCCTGCCCGTGGCAGGGGGTTAGAACTGAATGAGCTTTGAAGGTCCCTTCCAGCCCAAACCATTCCATGTTACACCATCGCATTAATTTCTCCAGCTGAGTTGAAGGCTGCTATACATCGAGTTTGCCACGAGAGGGCTCTAAGACACAGCAAATGAAACACTGTCAATTAAACACGCCCCAGCCCAACACCTAGAAACGGGCCCCGATCACCCGTTATTCCCAGAAAAGCATTATATAGCACCAAACCAGCATGAAAAACATTTCTAAAGCCAGCAAGACGACTGCATGGGCCACCGATGCACTCACCAGTTGTTGACTTGCAAGAGGGTCAGGTTGGTTTGGGCGGCAATTTGCCTCTTCTCATCCTCTGTGGGGTAGGGGTGCTAGAAAAAAAAGAGAGATGGGCAGCAAAATGACATCCCTGTATGCAAAACGGCAACCTTGAGTGGGCCCAACACAGCGATGTTCTTGTCCTCAGTGCAATAAATCAAGCATTTCCCATGTAAAAAAAACAGGCTGGAAAGTTCCCAACCACTTGCTGCTCTATGTGCTGGGTCATGTTGTTCCCCAAGTTTCTTGGAGTTGTTATTTTCTGTGTTGCCACCTACCTTGGGAGTCCCCCACTTCCCTGGAGATCATCATGCAACTCTTTACAATCAGGTTCTGAGAGGGTTTTGTCCAAATTATGCAGGAAAAAGGGCTGGGGTAGGGTTAAGCTTTTCACCCTTCTTCCAGCCCTGCTGATGGGACAGCTGTGTCCTTGCATGGAAACATCCTGGCTGCATCCTTTGAGTTCCCTCTGTCTACGTACATTTGCATCCCCCAAAAATGGGATGGGTTTGTAATTCTGCATGTCAAGTGACTGCTGATGACAACCATACCTGTGGGACAGCTTTCCCACTCCAGCTTGCTAGAAAAGGGTACTTGGGAGATGTTAATTGTAAAAAAATGCAAAAAATCATGGAAGGCCCCTTTTGTTTGCTTATTCTTGCATTAAGAGCATATTTTTACCCCCTGCATTGAAAAAAGTTGTGCTCCAAATACTCCCAAAATAAAAGCAAAGCCACTTAGTGCCTCCAAATACAAATTCGCCCCCCTGATTTGCTAATTTTGGGGGGTTTCACCTGGGTTTTTTTTTCCCAGCTTGCACAAAGATTTGGCAGTTGGGGTGCTCACCATGAGATGCTGGAAGAGCCATGAGCGCATGATGTTGGTGGCATGTTTAGGCAGGACGCCCCGCTTGTTCTTGGACTTCTTGTCCTCACCATCGAGGAGGGACGTCAGATCGAGGTTCACCTGCCAGGGGAGAGAATTGGCTGAAAACAGAGCTAGACAACCCGAAACACTAGCAAAACCAGCCCAAAACGGGAGTGCAAAAAACCAGGCACTTGCAGGGAGCATCCAAACCCCATTTTATTCCCAAAAAAGTTTGCATTAAATCCACAATTTCCCCCAGGATCTCTATTCAGCATCTCCACTGGTTTTACCAATGCTTTGCAAAGGGAAATGGGCTTTCTCCCTGTGGTGGCATCAGCACAGCTGAAGACTGTGATGCTGAAGCCACGATGGATTTGATATGTAATTAAAGAGGAAAACCACTTTTACCTTACAAAATAGAATCATGGAATGGTTTGGGAGGAAAACCACTTTTGCCTTACAAAATAGAATCATGGAATGGTTTGGGCTGGAAGGGAGCTTAAAGCTCATCCAGTTCCAACCCCCTGCCATGGGCAGGGATACTTTGCACTAGAGCAGGTTACTCCAACAACCAAGAAGATGACTTTCTGAACCTGAGGTTAAAACCCTGCTGCTTGTTAACACCTTCCAAGCCTGCATTCCTCATCCAACTGATTCTCACCAGGAGGAAAAATAAATCCATTGCAGGGAAATTTGCTTTTTTCCCCCAGAAAAATAAAAAATCAACATCTTGCTGCAAGAGAAGTTTTAATGAGGATGTAGGAACCGAACTGAAATCTCAGTGCTTGAGTTAAAAAGAGATTTTTACTCTTTTTTTCCCCAGCTCTTCATCAAACCCCTTCTCCTGGATGAATTAAACATCAGGCCAGCAGGTCCCTGCAATTCCCATGGGTTGCAGCTGAATAAATCATGCCGGCGGCGCAGGAAGAGCATCCAGAGGTGCTTGTCTGGGGCTTCCTCCCTGCCCCAATATTCCCTGTGTGCATGTTTTTCCCACCACGGAGGGTTTTGCTGCAAGATTTAAGCACTCACTGGAAAGATATTAGAGGATGAAATTTTAGGAAGCAGCGCACAGGCAACAAAACCTGCCAGGGAGGTGCCACCCATTCCCAACATGCACGGGAGGATTTTTGCCGACCTGCCCTGTGAAGCAGAGTAGCAGAAAACGATGGTTTCTTGCCCACATTCCTGGGGAATGGGGACTTGGAAGAGTCCATTTGCAACACAGCCAACAGAGATAGCAAGTTGTCCTTGTAAATCCATTTCTGCACCAAATTGTCACCTTATTGCAAGATGAATCCACAGGCAAACCCCATGTAATTCATTGCAATGACAGAAAAAAGGAGTAAAACCAGAGCAAATGGCTAAAAAATACACCAAAATCTATAAAGCAAGGTCAAAAAACGACTCCTTCCCATGAATGCTGCAATTGCTGCACTGAACAGGCCATCCCAGATCCACAATCCAATAGCAAAGGTTTAGAGGTGGTGACATGGTTTAGCGTATGGTATCCCTGCCCATGGCAGGGGTTTGGAACTAGGTGATCTTAAGGTCCTTTCCAACCCTAACTGTTCTATGATTCTGTATCACAACCTATCAGACACATCGTATATCATATATCTTATATATCAGTTATCACAGATCTCATATTTCATACAGTATGAGATCTCATATTCTGCTCCATATCATAGATATGACATATGAGATATCTATCATACAGGTAATACATAATTTATATGATATATATGATATATATCACACATTCATATATCATATATCACATATCACTTTGTATATAAGACAATATATATATTATACATCATATATGAAATGCCACGTCATATCATATATACCATATCTCATATATGGTGTATGTGATATGATATCTCATATATCATATACTGTATGTCATATATCATATATGATATGTCATACTATATTATATAGCATGCAGTGTATAGTGTATATAATATAATATGATGTAATGTAATGCAATG